GTCCCCACTGTAGCCAGACTCGGCTTGGCCGGCCACCCCCGCCGCCAGAGGGCTGTGCATGCCCCATGGGCCTCATCGCCCTCATGAATCCCCGTGGTCTGGCCATCCTATCCCAGGAAGTGGCCATCCTGATTGCCATAGTTCACTCTCCGGTGCAGTTGGGCCTGCCCAGCAAGCTTGTAGGCAGGAGCTGGGCCTCTGAGGGGAAGGAGGAGGGATGTGGGCCAGGGCAGAAGTGGGGAACTTGGTGGTGTAAACCCAACCCCCCTTCCCCACCTCCTGCAGGCCCCTCACTGCGCTGCATTCCCGAACCACTGGGTGCCTCTGCCCAGCACTGTGCTCTCGGGCCTGGGGTGGGGATGAGGGACCTGGAGCTGCGGCCTGAAGGCAGCCCTTGCTGGCCTGAATTATAGTGGTTGATCAGGGAGGGATGCAGGGTGCTAAATTCCGCCTCTCTCTCTCTCTCTCTCTCTCTCTCTCTCTCAACCCTATTCCTGCAGGAATCCTCCTGCAATGGGCTTCTAGTGCTTCTTATAAATATCACTAAAACTTTAGAGAATTAAGTTTGTAGGAATGTATGAAATATTTAACTCTTGTTCCTTTGTTTTCTGTATAGGATAGATGCAAGCAACAGTGTTTATGATTTAAGATGCTGTGATTTCTCTAGAATTTAACAAATTTTAGCAAATAGTACAAATCAATATCAAAACATATCACTTTCTGTGAGAATGAAATGTTATAAATTCCCCAGAGTGATGTGTTTGACAAAATTGTCTTGCATATTTTTTAAAGTGTAACTTCCTTGAAATCTTACTTGTATGTAATTAATAAACACTTCTTAAATAAAATGAGTGGGGCTTGGGCTGGACAGAGGGCACCAGGGCAGAGGAGATCTCCCGGCAGCAGATCTTCCCGCTGCCCCCTGGGGAGATCTCCTCCGCGGGCTCCGTGCCCTCCATCAAGCCTGAGCCAGAGCCGCGCTTGGCCCACTCCCCTGTCTCCCGCTCTGGGTCCTGCAGCCGTTGCCTGCTCGGAAAATTGGGATTCATGAAGCGCGGACAGCTGGGAGAGCCGGGTGGCTCCAGCGCTCCAGGGTTGCCTCCTGCCTTCCTGGCCCTGGGCTGGATGGCTTCCGGGCCAGCCGGTGGACAGGGCTCCTGCTAAGGCAAGCAATGCCGGCCTCCGCCGATCCCCGCCCACCCCCAGGTCGAACACAGGAGTGGGCCCCCTGTTTCTGGTAGGCGGGCAAAGCAATCTGCACCCCTTGCCTTGGCCCCAGCCCCCACTCGCCCCGGATCACACACGGGAGTGGGACCCCTGTCTCTGGTAGGAGAGCAAAGCAATCTGCACCCCTTGCCTTGGCCCCAGCCCCGGACAGCCTGCAGATCGCACAGGGGAGTGGGCCCGTGTTTGGGTGGGTGCCGGGGGGCAGGGAAAAGATGGCCCCCAGGGCCACCTTTGCCCTGACACCCGACTCTTGCCTGCTGCCTGGGTTTCCAATCATCATTCTTCCATCCTTCCCTTTCGCTTCCCAGCATTGCGCCTATGTATGCAAATTAACCGCCATCTTTGTTAGCGGTTAACCGCCATCTTTCTTGGCAGTTAATTTGCATATCGCCCTGATTAGCCAATGGGAAGCGTAGCAAAGGTATGGTCAATTACCATGTTTCTCTTTTATTAGATAGGATAAGTTACCACTAATTAAACATTTGTAGAGAGCTATACAGTGGGGCCTTGACTTACGAGTTTAATTCATTCCGAGACCGAGCTCGTTAAGGAGCTCATTAAAGAGCTTGTTAACTCAAATTACTCTATCAACTCAATGCAAAAAATCAGCCGAGAGACAGCTGGTATCTCAAAAAACTCGTTAGTCAGGACACTCGTAAGTCAAGGCCCCACTGTATTATCATAGAATGCTAAGGCTGTTTTAAGAAATATCCTGATAGCTAAATTAGGTAAATGAGATTTCAGGAGCACTAATTAAATGATGTATGTTAATTATTTGAATTCCTCGTAGACCAATGCAAATCACTAATTTGCAAATGAAACAATTGCCATTTACATGCCAACAAAATTCACTATGTGTCTGCTATCTAAGTACTAGATGAAGAAATATGCTACAGTGGGTAAAAGTTTAGATTTTGGAGCTGGTCAGCCATGGGTTCAAATCTTGGAATTGTCATTTAATCCTATCTAATAATAGAGAAACATGGTACTTAACCATAACTTCGTTACCCTTCCCATTGGCTACTCAGCGAGATATGCAAATTAACTGCCAGCCAAGATGGCGGCCGGCAGCCAGGCAGCTGAAGCAAACAGGAGGCTTGCTTGCTCCAGTGATGGAGGAAGCCAAGGTTCCCTGCCTGCCGCTGCCGGGCTCTGAGCTCCGGATGCAACAATGTTGCAATTATAGAACCTAAACAAACCCCAGAAACCTGTTTTCAGCCAGCGCAGCCTCAGAGCTTAGAGCGGCCAGTGATGGCAACAGAATTTCAATTATAGAATCTAAACAAACCCAGATACCTGCTTTCAGCCGGCAACGGCCTCAGAGTCGGAGCCGGCTCTCAGCTCCAGTGACAGCTATAAAAGGTAAATAAATCCCAGAATAAAAAAAGAAAAAGAAAAAAAGAGAGGCTGGGTGCTTCAGTTGCCCATCAGCCTGAAAACAGCCCTCAGCCCCTCACCCAGACCAGCCAGGCACCCCAGTGGGGACCCCCAACCTGAAGGGGGTGTGACCAGCTGCAAACAGCCATCATCCCATCATCCAGGCTGGCCAGGCACCCCAGTAGGGACCCCCACCCGGAAGGGGGTATGACCAGATGCAAATCATCCCCTTCCCCTCATCCAGGCTGGCCAGGCACCCAAGCGGGACCCCCACCCTGATCCAGGACACCCTTCCGCTGGTGGTCAGGGCGCTCTCACATGGGAGTTGCTCTGCTCAGCCACAGGCCAGGCTGATGGCTGTCAGTACAGCGGTGGTGGTGGGAGCCTCTCCGGCCTCCTCAGCAGTGCTAAGGATGTCCGATTGCAGTTTAGGCCTGCTCCCCGCTGGCAAGTGGACATCCCCCGAGGGCTGCCGGGCTGCCAGAGGGATGTCTGATTGCCAATCCCCTGGGGATCGGGCCTAAGCCAGCAGGTGGTCATCCCTTGAGTGGTCTCAGACTGCGAGAGGGCACAGGCCGGGCTGAGGGGACCCCCCCCGCCTCCGCCCCCCCAAGTGCACAAATTTTTGTGCACCGGGCCTCTAGTAGCTATATAATTTTGGACAAGATATTTAACCATTTCAACAATCAATTTCTACATCTATAAGTACATCTATAAGAGAATTGCTGGGTAGATTAAATGAGAAATGCAGGCAAAGCATCTAGTATGGTGCCTGGTAACAAGGACACAGTACCTGTTATTTTTTATTATGTGGACCTGGGATGTTGTCAGGTTGAAATACTTAGGGCAAGCAAAAGAAAACTGGTAGGAAAATGGAGTGAAATGTTGCTTAACTCTACCTTTGGAGTAAGATGAAAACATCATCCCAGAAGAAAAATCTATAATATATACTTCTAAGAATGCAAAATAACATATTATTTCCTTGTTTTTACTTCAACATTCATATTGTTATAGTACCATTAAATTCTATATGGGTAATGAAATCTTTGCAATTCTCCTTTAAATTGTATATGCATAATGATTTATATTAACCTGTTAATGAATCTCATGGAATACCACAATATGAATAAAATTATTTAATGAATGTAATTATGGCTACAGAAATGTAATAACAATATTTGATATAAATGTTGGTATCAATACATATAATACTGCAGCAATTTTTCTATATAAGAACTTTAAAAAGTTTTCAAGAAAGGAACAGCCCCAAAGTTATAGACTTTATTGTTTTCAACATAAGTAATTATCTAGAAACCCCCCTGAAACTACTATAAATTATTCTTACCAGCATTGCACGCTTTTCTTCATCTCCTTTAGTTTCTCTCTTTTCATTTTTTTTCCTGAATATCTCTTGAAGCTGAAAAGAAAACCAATCAATATCAAACAAGAGTTTCTGGGTACCCACCTACTTATCGGCGGGTTGCTGATACCAAAGAAAATACAACCTTTGGTACAAGCAACCCACAGTTAGTAAAATGTACAAAATTGTAGTTTTATTTTATCTCTAAGGCACAAAGACATGGAATTTATGGCACAAACATAAAAAGAGAGGAAGCCCACTGGGGTATAAAGAACAATGGAGTAGAACACAGGGTCTCTGGTTTTGGGCCCACCTTCTGTCACACACCAATTCTAAGGTGGTGGACAAGCCACTCAACCCTTGCAGGGCTCCAATTTGCTCATATGTTAAATGAAGATGGACTAGATGACCTCTAAGGTTTTTTCAGGTAACTGAGCATTGTGATGGGAGCATGGGCTCTGCAAGTATAATTCTTGAAAGTTACTCTCGTTATTTAAGGCTTGTTTTCCACATCAGGAATAGAGATAATGCCGTACCTTATGGGAAATTTTTTCCCTCTGGCTTTATGGAGGTATAATTGACAGGTCTTATATGAATGGTGTGCAGAGTAAATATTATTAAGTAATTACTTAGCACATTGCCTGTCACACAGTAACTCTAAGTGTTAGCTATTACTATAAATATTATTTCTTCTCTAAAATCCTACTTTATAAATGGAAGCCCAAGTTTTCTGGTGAGGTTATTGTTCTTGTCTCTGTAATGTACACAGCTATCTTAACTCTCCATTTTGTTTTGTATGGCAGTAGTTGAAAGTCAAATAAAATGTATTACCTTCCAAAATATGAAATAAAAACACAGTACAAAATATAATTTATTAACAAATAAATTCATTTTCACACTTTTTCTTAGTGAAAAGTGTTGTTGTTGTTTTTTGGGTTTCTTTTAGCAAAGGTTAATAATCACTTTGTAAATAGGCACGGGAATCGGACTTTAAGCCTCTATAAATAACAGCCAAACTCCACCTTCTGCTTTCAGAACTCTTGCTGTTTGCAAACAAACATCATACATGAGGAAGCAGTACCGCCACTGCAAAGAGGAAACCACAGCTTTAAAGAGAGGGCAGCTTTAATGAGTCTAGAGTGGAAACAGAAGTTCTAGATAAATGTTTTTATCTCCCATCTCCACAAATGGATAGTATTCCAAAAGACACCTACATAGGCAACTTCCAATGGACTGAGTTCTAAAAGTCAATCTGTAAGTCAGTTGGGTGGAACCTGGCAGTGTTGCCACAGAAAGCCTAATGATAGTTATTTAGATTACTAGGCCCATTAGGAAAATCCTAAAATACAGTTGTACACTATCATAACAAAATTATATTTAAAACGAAATCTGTCCATTTGAGGATGTTAAGAACATAGCTCTGTGTTTGCGATGATATTGAAAACTCTCATTGCCCTACCATCCTGAAAATGAGGGATCTTGCATGGCTCCAGCTCCAAAGGCGTGGCTCAGGGACTGTACTCAGGAGCGAGGACTACACGGGCATTAGATTAAGCGTTTTGATAGATAGCAACAATTATTCTGCTTGCTTCCTTTCGAATGGTTACTAATTAGCTTTTGATGAGGATTTTTATCTCTTGTCTTTCCTACCATGGAAAAAAACGATTTCATAGTTTCTCTTCCATGTTCAGCCTCCGAAAAAATAGTACAGAGGTTTCCTGAGGAATTTTTAATGGCTTGTTACAAAGGAAAAATCGAAAATAAAATGGCTATATATATATATATATATGTATATGTCATTTTTTATTAGGAGAATATAGGTGAATATAGACTTGAACATAAAAGCTAAGAGTAAACCTTGTTAATGTAAGGAATAAATTAATGTTAATCTCTATTTAGGAGAAAAAAAATGTAACAAGCTATTTTGCCACAGAAGTAGAGCAGAAACACATGGGTAAAAAGAAATTTAAAAATTTCGGAAGCAGCATGGGGTGATGAAATGATGTTGCTAGACCAGCAACAACACAGGACCAGTCAGGTGAGAAAGATCAAAGGACAAATATCTAAAAAGCAATCTTTCTTCTTCCTCTTTAGATCAGCCTTTGGTCAAAGACAGGAGAACAGAACAGGAAAATGGGGACAAGACTGGAATGCAAGGCAGAAGTGAGTGAAAGAGAACAGGAAGAACAATGATTGTAAATCCTATAATGAGAAGGAAGTTCCTCCGGCAGAACTGTGACTGGGTGGCCGATAAGTTGGGGTATGAGCACTCTCTGGGCATCCCTTCAAAAGAAAATGTTTATTTCAAACTTCCAGAAAATGTGTAAACAACTGTAACCATCTTTATACATGGAATATAATTTATTTTTACAATGTAAAAATTACTCAAAGAATATGAGAATATACATGAAAGCATAAAATTTTAACTCTTGCTTCTATGATGTTATTTCAAATAATGCAAAACATAAAAATATAAGGAATTAATATTTAATCATTGATAAAAATTCAGCAAATAATATACATACCACCAAAAACTCCTTTCTGTCCACCATCTCGTTGCCATCAGTGTCGAACATGTTGAAAGCTATTCTAAACCCTGCATGAGGCTCTGCCAGAAAAGACAGAGGAGTATTTCTGAAATGGGAAATGACTTTAAAGTACATAGTCCATATTAGTTGTAAACAGTTACTTATATTCAGTACAGAAATAACTTCTTTAAGCAATAAATTAAAGCAACATGTTGCTATTAAATATAATAAAAGCTGTATAGAAATACACATATTTCTGCTTCATATATTAGCATATTTAGTAACAGAATTGATAATATACTTTAAAAATATTGTGTGATACTGGCTGCATGGCACTGATAGTAAAATGTCACTATCTTCCTTCCAAAAATAAATATGACACAATAAAGTAATCCAAATTCTGGAGGAAATTATAATGGAAATGACCTATGAAAATAAAAGTCAAGCATGAGCGATTGCATATTTGGGTTGAAACTTTTAGAGTTTAAACTTCAAAAACAGAAATATAAAATAAGAGGCTTACATAATTAATTCTCAATTGTCCCCAAAATACAAAGAATAATTAATTTTCTGAAAAAGACAGGTTTTAGCACACTATGAACTGCTTTAATTTTATGAACCCTACAATGAGGTTCAATCCTTTTTCTCTTTTCACTTCTAAAGCATAAACAAGAAAACGTGGACACAAGAAAACTTGAACGTGTCGTTAAAAGAGCTCAGCGTACTTGCATTTTTCAAAACATTTGACCTACTCTTTTGAAATGACTGGCAAAAAGTTTAAAAAGGGACCTCCCATAGCTACACTTGCCACTAGCTGTTGTGAAATTTTGAATCTAGCAAAGGAGAAGTACAGAGACCTACTTTCTTAACTGGTAATAGCTATCTCTGAAAATAAAGGAAACGGAAGCCATCTTTTATGCAACTTCATTTCTTGCATGTATTTTAGGAATCTAAACTTACACTTTCATTATTATCCACTTGAGAAAGAAATAAAAAGCTACACCATCTCTGATAACCAAGTTTTAAGCTTTAAAAAGATCATAAGAATATATGTAAAAAGGAAATCCTTACAAGCATTATTTGGAAGGGAAAATAAAGTTAAAGTAATAAAAAGTAAAGAGAAGAAAACTATAGATAGGTAATAGGTGATCTAACCTACCTCCTGCTAGACCTCTTTTCACATTTTTCTTGGTTCTAACCTAAACAATATCCATAATTTAAAATTCAAACTCCTAAAAGTTTCTAAGAGGGGTCCTTAATTGCAAAAGATTTACAGCACCCAAAGGTCTTTATCTTCCCATTGTAAGCAAAACCCACCATATGTGTTTTTTCCAACACCCTTAAACCATATCTTGTCCCATCTCAAGACATGGCTTTCTTAACTAGTTCTGTTTTAGTTTTTCTCTACTGGTTTAGGTACATATTAACTTCAAATTTTGCATCTGCAGAATATATTCTAGATAACAAGATAACTTTTTAATAAGTCTTTGAAATACTCTTTGGCACCCCTCCTGTAATTTGCATGGTAGCATTCATTATTGACTGAACTTAAATCATGAGAGTTCTTGTTTCCATATATCTCCACAAATCCCCACAATGGGAAATTCCACCACCAATATTCTTTCATTCATGCCTGTCTTCATTCATTCACCAACTATGATTTAAAAGGCTACCACGTGTTGAACACTGTTCTTAATACAGAAATGGACAAAAAGATAAATCTTTACCATCATGGACCTTGCATTCAAGTGTGGCAAGACAGACAAGAATATGTAAACCAATAAACAAGTACTTTCAAATAATTTAAGTGCTATGAAGAAAATAAAACTGTAAAGGGATAAAAAGGAAGAGATGAGAGAGGGAGCTATTTTAGAAATACAAGGAATTTTAGAAAGGATGGTCACGTAAGAATTCTCCAAGTCTTCACATTCCAAAGGAAACCTAAATAATGTTTATTATCATGAGGATCTTGAAGAAAAGCACTGAGGGTAGAGGGAGCAGAAAGTACAAATTCCTGAGATGAGAATAAAGGAATAGAAAGGTCAGGTGGCTGGAGTATAGTTCCACCATTAAATGTAATGAAATTTAACTGAAAACCTTAGTAGACCCTTCATATATTTCATAAGAATTGCTGCACATAAGAGGAAGAAAAAAATGAAGCTGTTTCAGGATGTATGATATACATTCTGATAGACATTCTTTCACACTAGTCTTGTAGAAAATGTGATTCAAGTAAGTGTAGCAGGAAATTTACAAATCATTACATGTCCTACCTTTAGGCTCCCATGTAGACTAAAACACAGGGATTGATATAGGATATTAGTTTACAATTTATGAACATTTTACTAATATATTATAAGCCATAATAATATTTATGATTTTGACCCTTGATATACCATTCTTAGCATTTTCCGTGGCTATTTTGACATGAATTTTGCAAAACAGCACAGACATACTTAAAGTATTTTAAGAGAATCTAAGAGAATCAAAGGAAGATTTATTTTCTACAAATTCTAATTTTAAAAAATTGCATCCAGAAATAAATTTAATGAGGTACACTTACTTGTTAAAATACACAAGAGAAAAAGATATTCTGTGTAAGAAATCACACCTAGAAGAAAAACAGTACTAGTTATGCTCTATAAAAATATTGTTTTCTTCATATTTATCAAGTAAAATATTCTTATATAGCAATAAGTAATATTAATAAAGAACTTACAGTTTTAAAGATGCTAAACATTGTTTTAAATGAGACTAAACTATTATTATTAAATCACAGCCCAAAAAAGCAGCAAAATTAATTTTATTTTCATTGTTTCATGTCTCTAAAGAAACCCATATAAAATGACCATAATGCTTCCAGATATATTGGCAATAAAAATAATTATTATAATGTTTACTTATGCTGCAACTTTTAAACTTATGGCTAGTTTTCAGTGTATGAATCAAACATAAAATAAAAAGGTTGGAAATGGTTAACATTGTAAAGTGCTTAATTCTTAATTGCAGTTTATAAAACAATTCTTGCTTAGAATATTGATTTTTGTACTACATTCAAAAAACAAAACTCTATAGTTATCCTTTTGCTGACATAAATTATCATTTGTAAACTTAATGTTTCTATTAAATGTAATCTAAGAAGTTTATATTTTAATTAAATGGCTTCTACTTTCTGTATACTGAAGCATGAGTTCTCTGTAATCCCAGAATCACAAACTTTAAAAGGAGTTAGTGTGGGGTAAATAAAAATATACATCCTGTTACTCAAATTCTTTCTTTTAGACTATAATACCCCAAACTAGAATTAATGCATTAATTTACTTTCTAAGTAGATCCTGAGAAAAAGTCGGGAATAAGCCAGTAACACTTAATCAGCTATCAGATAGTCCTGATGTTTGGTTAAAGAGTATAAAAAATCCTTACACACTCAGACTGTGAACTTTAAACCTCCATTTCACCTGGTGTTCTCTGAAGCTACCCTCTTTGTCATAGAACAAAGAGAAGAGGAGTCACTGTCAGGCAGTTTGTCAGAAGACATGAAGGGACTGAGCCAGGAGGCCCTGAAAGCATTCCCCTTTTGTTTATACTAGAATATTGTGACCTATAGACATAGTTCTGGTTGATTGCCATGAATGCTATGGGAGAAAGATTCTGGAATGGTCAATGTATATAAAGATACAATACCTAGATTCCATAGGGATCCTTCAAAAAAACAAAAAGTGAAAAAGAAAGAATAAATGCAGGAGGGGGAAAAGGAAATGGGATCAGGAAATGGGCTGTCTCCACAGTCCCATCTTACTGACTGTTGTTCAAATTGATCTAGTGGAATACATTTCCTGACCTTATCATCCCACCCTAAGATCTGAACAGCAATCTTTAAGACAACTTCCAGGAAAAAATTTCTAAGAGCTTTAAAGATACCTTGGGCCAGATTTTGCGAAGAGGTAAAAATCCTACCTTATGAAAGGCCTAAAATAAAAGGTACAGTATTCCTCCTTTCAGATTCCATGAGAACCAGGTGGAAGCAATATGAATTTCTAATTCTATTAGACAAAATATATGGATTATAACTACTCCTTTAAACTATTTGTCTTCATACTAGAGTAAATACATTTTCCAACCAATATTGGTTAAAACTGATGAAAAAGGTAATTTTATGTCATTTCTTTAATATTTTTATATCATATACTTTCATTGTTGAGAATATTTCAAAAAAACATTCTTTTTTAAGACTAAGTTAATCTTAAAGATTTTATTAGTTTTTGCACAAATATGTACAAAAATTACATTACAAAAATTGTAATAAAAACTATATAATTTGACTGTATGTACGAATTAGTGAGTTAAGTTAGATACACAGATATGGGTAACAGTGTAAGTTGAAATAAGTGAATTTTGTGGGAAGTGTTGTTTTTAAAAGAAACATGTTCAAGCTGAGTGGCCAACCATAGATTCAATAATTTTTTTCATATTGATTAAACTTAAGAAAATCTATTATTCCCTGGAAGTAACAGACATTTAAAAATCAGTATTTTTGAAAAATGTTTTCTATAGGTAAATATAACCTACACTTTTCAATATGGTTAAAAATGTTTTTTTAAACCTGTGAAAGTTCATTTTGTTGTAAAAATTTAGAAAATATAATCTGCACTAATAAAAGACAAAGATGCTAATTGACCGTACCTTCACGATACCCATGAGCCAATCAGAAGAGTATGCAAATTAGCCCAACAAAAATGGCCATTAAATTTGCATACTGCAGGCGGGCAGGGCGGGGCAGCGCCATCCGCCACCCAACCCAACCCCGGGATCGGGCCTGCCATCTGCCAACCGGGGAGCAGGCCTAAGCCAGGAGGTTGTTATCTCCCGAGGGGTCCCAGACTGTGAGAGGGCATAGGTCAGGCTGAGGGACAAACCCCCCGCCACCCCCCTGCCAGTGCACAAATTTTTGTGCACCAGGCCTCTAGTAATATATATAAAAAGTAAAATTAAAACCACCCTTAATCCCACTACCCAGAAATAACCATTATTATATTTCTGTGTTTTTCTCTTCAGTGTTTTCTCAATGTACACATAGCTGTAAAATTACTTGAAGTATGAGAAAAATCTGTATATATACAGTATAAGTGTCAATATTGTGTCAATATTCAAATATATAAATACTAAAGTTAACTTACCTCTTTCTTTAAGGTTTCGAAATAGCTTTGATGATCCTTTCCAAACTGGTGGTGTTTCTGAGAGCATTTGATTTAATTCCTATGACATAAGGTATCATAATGCTGATTAACAGGTAAATTAATTCTAAACAAGATAAAAAATATCTAAATGCTTATGTAAAAAGAATTCTTCACTTAGAAGATCTGAGACATGGCTACATTTATCTATATTCTCTACCCATAGTTCATTCAACCACAAAAGCCAACATTTGCCCAGAGTTTAAATATAAAATAAATGATAAAGATGCTACAATTGGTAGCTCAATTAGAGCTACCAAAAATTGCAAATAAATTTAATAATGTATATATGGTAATCAAATTAAGATAAAACAGTAAGTTGTGGAGCCAGTTAGAAAAGTACATTTTTATGGAAGCCATTGAAAAAGGTGGACTTCCTAATTAAGGTCAGAGGTGATCCCCTGGCTTCACATACTGTTCTCTATAGGCCTCTTGTATTTAGGGGTCTTTGTGGTAGAAGTAAATGGACAAAGGTTTATATCAGGAAGGAATGAAGAATATTTTAATAGTGACTCAAAGAATTATGACATTAGATGAAGTTAGGGGCAAGGACATTAAATTATTATGTACACTTTCAATTTTTTTCTAATTTTACCTTAGTCATTAAAGAACACAGACTTCAATTTTTTGTTTGTTTGTTTTTTAAAAATCAAACTATCACAGCTGGTGGGGGGAAAACTATTTTGGAAAATTTAAACATTTGAATCACTCTTTATATACTAAAACAATTTTAAATGTATTTATATACTGTGTTGAAAACAACTAAGTGAAAATATAGTTTGGTTAAATGTGAAGAAAAATTATTAAAGGATTTGTAGAGATAACTTGAAATAATTTGAAATTTAAAAATTAGTCTGCCAAATAACACACTGAAGAAAACACTGTAAACCACTTCTATTTCTAGGTCTGATTCTTGCTCCTCAAAGTCCAATAGCCCAAGCATTACCGGGGGGTTGTTAGAGATGCAGACTCTC